GAGAGAGAGAGAGGGGGGGAAACCCGTTGAGTCCGTCTCTGTTCGGTTCCCCCTTGGCCTCTTCCCCCAGATAACCCGGTACAGTTGTGGCCGCGTGTCCCTGCGTGGCGCGTGGAATCGATCGACATCCGCGCGTGGCTACGATAACGAACGTCGCAAAATGCGAAGAGGACGGCAAGAGACAGTGCGGCGCGACGTCGCACTGTGAACCGCGCGATGGACTTCTGCGAATTCTGTTTACAAAATTTCGACACGTTGCTAATTATGTTTCGACTCTCCCGAAAAGCTTTGAAGCTTTCTAGTTTCGCGTTTCGAAGTTCAAAATTCCGACAAAAGAATCTGGAAGCGTTTTCTTCACAATTTTTCTTTTTCCTTTGCAGGAAATTTCTTTTTCTCCGAAATTTCTTTTCTTCAATTGAGGCATTTTCCTTTAGAGATTCAAACGGCATTTCAAGAAGTTTATCGAAAGATACTAGAACTTTAACCAATCTGGATTGGAAATTAAATTAAAAATTAAAAATTAATTTTAAATTAAATTAAATCGAATGAAGAAATTACGACGATTTTATGATTTTCGTATGACGTGAATGGAAATATAAAGTAAACGTTCCATGCATTTAGATTCTTATTTTTTCATCATTTCATCATTAGAATTAGCTAGAGAAGAAGTGATAGTTTTGCGATGGACGAACAGTTCGCTCTTTCATGCACTTATCTTTTTCTTGACTTTCTTGGGATTTTCGATTATTTTACTGCTTATTTAATTTATGACCAAGAAAATTGCGAACGGTCGCATTGTCGCAACCACGTGCGCCCATCACGTCGTCGAGACAAACGTTTCTGCTTGAAAATTCCCCTCGTGCGAAATAAAAATCCGCAGACACGTGTTCTATTCTCGTATCGTCCGTCGTGAGCGGACAGAATTACGACATCACGCGGCGATTGTCCTCGGAGGGAGAAATTTAAAAAGAAAAAAAAAGAAGACTGGTTGACATATGTAATTTGCTTAAAAAGTGTGTTTAAAGTTTGTTTAAAAGTGAAGACGATGAATTCGGCACAGCTGAAGAGGAAATGGCTCTGGGAATATTTTTAAGCGAAGCACGTGTTTCGCACTTATCTTTTTTCTTTCTTTTATCGATTAATGCGTTTTTCCAATCTCATGAATTTCGAAAATTTATCTACAGGATCGATTCTTAATTATGAAAATGAGATAATCGGTGTAAAATACTTTTTTCTAACTATAGAATAGAAGACTGATCTAACGCTGACGAAACGCTGCACGGAAAAAAGAAAGTAGCTGCCATTGCTAAAAACTGCATGTGATAGCTATATATGTTGTAATATGGATAGCTAATATCTTAATTGTTGATATCTATATTATTTGCTATTTGCTCTATTTACTGTATTAGGAGCTAGAACAAAACGATTTGCTGTTGCTCCTGATACATAAATATAGTAGCAAATAATATAAGTATTACAATTAAATATTAGCTATCACAACTAAATATTAACTATCCATATATTATAACATAATATAGGCAGCTATGGCAGCTATTTTCTTTTTTCCGCATGGACGTCGAAAGATACATCGTCGCGTTACAATGCGGAAGTTTTCGTTTTTTCGACACGAGATCAATCGAATTGCACAAATAAAAATACAAATAAAAAATAAAAAAAAAGTAGATACTTGTCTTAAAACACGCGAGTGTAAAGGTAAAAAATAGACTAAGAGAAATATGCGGTAAGTAAAAACATAAAATAGATCAAGGTAAGCACGCGGTATCGTTGCCGATTTTTCAAGAGATTTCAACATACCTCGTCGTTCGTAAAAAGATCTTTGAAATTATTTTGAAAGGACTCGAACTCGAGGGGGAGTGATGTTCGATACCCGAGTTCCCAGGAACACGAAATGTGCGAAAATGAGGAAAATCAATGGGGTACGCACGATACCGCATGTTTATGCACGTCCTACTCAGACCACTCATTCCTCGTGAGATTCAGTAGTAAAACCCAGAATGGACTCGACGAAGGTTAATTCAACGCTTAATCTACTCCTGCTCGCGGAGAGGAGAGGCCTCGTGCGCGCGCGGAAAAAAAAAACGCAATGTGTTCTGTTACATACCTCCGGTCAGCACTAACTTGTACACGCGTTTCTGATCCATCGTCGTGGCGGTTCCACTTCCGTTTTCGGTCGGAGAATCGGTTCTCTTTTTCACTCCGCCCTCACCTCCTCCCGTCCTGTCGTCGCGACAGTGTTTGGAGCCTTCCTCCGGAAGGGGTTGTCGCTTTCCTCCTCTTCCCCACGAGACGAGGATGCCGAGGGTGGCGAGGGTGCGATGCTCGAGGGCGGCGGTGATCGGTACTAGATAAATACCTGGTGGTGCATCTCGAATCGGCGCGTGCTCGACCGCGTGCTCGGATGATGCATGGAAAAACGACGACGAGGAACGAGACCAAGAACTACGACGACGACGACGACGACGATGATGATGATGATGAAGATACCCTCGGGCGCGAACTTACTCGATGATCGTCGTCATTCGCTCACCGCGAATGTCTGTCCGTCCGTCTGTTTTCCGTGGCGGAGAACGAGACAGAGAGAGAGAGAGAGAGAGAGAGAAGAGGGAGGAAACACGGCACCGTCTCGCGCGTGCGGCTCGGCACAACAAATGCACACGTCCGTTTTGCTTCGTTGCTCGGAAGCCTCTGAAGCAGTATTGTGAATCGGGCCGGGTTTTTCGCGCATGCGTAGCGAACAGACATAAAACAGCGATGTCTGTGACGTAGCGATGTTGGGCGCAAAAGCTTGGCGTGAAATGGCGCGAAAGTTTTAACGGGATTATCGCCGAATAAGTTAGATATAAATGAGGTAAGTATTTTACACGTAATACTTATATTTTTGCATAATAAATTCTTTTTAAATTAGAAAAATTTTTATGTCATTACGTATGAACAATCAATGTTACATAATTTTACTTATATTAGGTACGTTACTGATAGTCTATTCGCGCATGCGCGAAAAACCCGGCCCGATTCAGACACTGCTCTGAAGTGAGTTGCACACGGTTGCGCAGCTGGTCGTGAATCGCGCGAAGCACGCGCGCTCCATAGAAACCGGAAGTGACGATCCGGAACCGGAAGTAATGACTGATTCCGCGCGAAATTCGAGTGTGTTCCTTGGTATTTACGTACTCGTGTTTGCTTCACGTCTTAAATAAAAGATAAAAAATTTATCTTATTTCTATCAATATAGATTAATTTTGGTTTAACTTAATCTTTATTTAATTCTTAGAATTAAAAGAAATTAAAAAGTAAGCTAATAACTGAGATTAAAGTTAATCTCCATTGCTAGAAATGAACATTGATAAACAAAAACTTATGTTACATACAGCTTTATCTAACTCGTGTCTTTACATTGGGATTTTAAGACTTGTTTTCTAGAGTTTAACTTATATTAACTCATATTTTACAAAATCAGTATTACTCAATCAGTATCATATAAAACAAATTCTTCTGTTTAAATGATGAATGCCGTTTGGTAAATGGTAAATCATAAAACAAACATAAAGTTTGATACATAAAGTTTAACAGATAAAGTTGAAAGATGAAAAGATTAGAATAATAAATCGACAGAAAAATAATTGACTGTTTTTTAACCATAATAATCATAATATTCAAATATTTAACCATACATTGGCCTCGAAAACACTCTTTCAAAGATACTAGCTTCAAACATAATGGGACACGCCGACTATAAACAAATATAATAAGAATCGATTTAATCTAATGTTATTAATATTTAAATTTAAATAATATTTAAATTACATTTAATTATAGAATAACGAGAGTGCTAGATTTCTTATATTAGATTTTCTTACATTAATATCCTTTACGTTCTACATGTAGAATATTTTCTTCGAATAATCAATGTTGGGCGATGTTCTGTCTGTATCTTAATGAAAGCTTTGGAACAAACGAACTGTTGTTCCAAAATTGTTTCCACGAAGATCGATTCAGAATTATCATATCTACTTTGAATATATATAGATATATTTGAATATAGAGATTGGCAAAATAATTAAGGCATATATTATCGATTGCGCTCGGTCCACAATGCGGGAACTAAACTTACCGAGATTATTCTTGATTTCTCGTTTACGAGAGAAAATATAAAAGCACCTTTACGCGATAATTCTGCGTCGCGAGATCGCAAGAAGACTTGACCGTGACAGGTGTCGTCTTTATATATTTCATACTCCCCACGCTGCGACCGTTTAAACTTTGGAAAATACCTCGATGGAAAAAAAAACGACGAACACCTCTTTATCGCTCTCATTCACGCAACCGCAATAAAAATAACGTCCTTGGTATAGATAACACGCTCTGCTGAGTCTCCCCTAGTTTATCCTCTTCCCGAGCAACATGAGAGCGCAAAATAGATCTAAAAGATATGTAAAATATCTCTTTTTATGCATTCTTCCCCCTTTCTCACCTTCATTTGCTAAAATTATGCGATGAAATTCAACAAAATTGAAATATTATGCAACACACATTAATACTTCAAAATTCATATGTGTACATGCGTGGTGTGTATTCTATGTATATATATCCTTTTTAACTATAAAAAATTTCATTTATATAACTGCGCATGATACCTAAAAATTATATTGAACTTTTTAAATAAAAAATATTATAATGTAAAAAAACAGAATTGACACTTGTTAAAAGGAATCAAATTACATCAACTCTTAGAAAAATAATGTATTCTGCTTAAATGTTATTAATTTGAAAACTTAAAGAAGAGGTATTGGGAATTGATTCAATTATCTTTTTCTATTCTCTTAATTACTGATTTAATTATTTACATGAAATTACATAACAATACTTTCTTTATATAAGATTTAGGAAATATTTTTTTTCACGAATTCATGAAATAAAAATAAAACACTTGATTTGGAAGATTCGATTTTTCTATATTCCTCTTTTTCATTTTTGTATTTACAATCTTCTTTTCTTTTAATAATAAGTATTAATACACAGCTAAAATCTTAAGTAAACAGCACCGAGAATCTATTGCGTAATTACGATGCATGATACGCTGCTCGGAATTAAAGGGTCATTTGTCCGCAAAATTTAATCCTATATCCGAATTTGAAGCTACGGAGACAATATCTTGATAGAAATTGTCGATCTTAGCATATTCTCAGAATAATGACATCTATTCAAAGAATAAAAAACGAAAAATAAGAAAAGAAAAGAAGACAGTTAAATTTATTATTGTAGAATAATTTTGTTCGAAATATGTATTTCTTCAATATAAAATTTGCGAAGAAAAAGGGTAATGGAAACATTTTACGCCACTAAGACCCTTGAAATTTTTGATTCATCGAACGAGCAGTTTGGCGAGCATTATTTTAATTAATAGGCACTGAGGATAAGTATTCGTGAAATATATGTTCAATCCTTTTGAGATAAAATACACAATTAACAATATCTTTCTTCGATATTATTTGTGCTCATCGTATTTGAATACTCAGAAATATCTCATCATCACATAGTGAACCGATGACCTCTATTAATTCTAATATCCTTAAAGAAACAGATATAAACAAATATGTATCATGTACAGCTTTAGAATAAAGAAGAATGAATATATTGTACAATATAACATTAAATATGTCAATAATGAATTAACTACCTTTAGACGTATAACTCTTTACATATTATTAATTTTTTTTAATTATCTTATCATATTTGTACATTTTTTAGACAGATATATAATTATGTTAGTTACTGTTAATATCAGAAAAATAGCGTATCTGATAATTTAATATTAAATGTCGGATAAATACCGAGTTATAAATTGGAAGAAGAGAGAAAGTCTATCATTTTGCAAACAGCTCGTTATTGAGACTCAACTCTTTCGCTGCAGCCATATAGGTTTATAGCGAGAAGTGATATGCAATTAATTAATTACTACATACAGCTTTATTTTTTTAGTTTTCCCTTAAAACATAATAATTTCCTGAAACTTATAAAATATACGAAAAATTGTAACAGGTAATTTTTCAGTCATGCTTAGCAGTTATGATCGTTTAGGCATGGTTGAAAAATAATAATAATAATAATGAAAAATAATAATTGAAAATAACGTACTATTTCAGAAATTATTTTACATTTCTACATAATAGATCGGATAGATGCTCAGTTTTCCATACATTTACAAACATCAGGATTGCGAAATTATATTTTTAAGGAAAAACTAAAAAATAAAATTGTATGTAGCAATTAATTTATTGCATGTCATTTCTTGCCTATGATGTCATAAAACCGAGTTGATTGCTCAAGAGAGCCGAGCCTTAAATCATAAATATAATAAATAATATGAAATTATTTACTCTGCCGATATTATACAATAAAATCGTAAAAAAAAAGAAATCTATCGAAAATCATGAAATATCGAATAACGATGATCGAAGCGTGACCAAACGCTTTAAAGTGCGTAAAAATAGCTGATTTCGAAATTTGGGAATATTATGGAAACTAGTCGTTCACGTCGTTGGATCGTAAGAATTGAGTCTCTGTACGAATTTTAAGGGTATTCCCATGTAAAGCAATCTATCTGGCGAATCTTCTTTCAAACTCGGATAATAATAATTCAATGCCTGCCAGCAAATCTCAGATAGTTTAGGAATCGTCAGCCAAGCAGAATGAACCGCATTTGTTCTTTGCACCTGTACAATGAATAAAAGTTTTTGAATCATTGAAATAAAATATGTGTCATGGTATTCGGGAAAATACAATAATAACCTTATTATTCATTTTGACTATACCGCCGAATATGTACATGCGACCTTCTGGAGTCAATGCAGCCGAATGAAAGTACACGGGACACGGTAAAATGCATTCTCTCAGGAGTGTCCACTGTAGCGTACTGAGATCAAGCCGCCAAACATCAGAGAATACCCAATCGCCGTTGTAACCGCCCGATATGACGACCGAGGTGACGCCACTCTTCTCATCCGTGTACTGAACGGAACCGTGACAGCGTCGTGGCGCCGGCACCATGGTCTCTTCGGTATCACCGTGCGTGCTCAAAATCTTCCAACTATTGGTTTTTAAGTCAAATGCTGGTATTTCCTGACAAAGTTTATTATAAATATTATATAAGGTAATAGAAATTACTATGAAAGTATATTCTTACATTTTCATTAATAATAATTTATATTCATATTAATATGAATTTTTTTATTATCATCTAAATTTTATTATATTATCAATATAATATGTATATACAAAAGCCATGTGCTTTATAATTTTTAAGCAGAACATTTATATATAATATATATAAGTTTGTTCACTCACTGAGAAACCATAGGACTCTGTTGAGGTTCCACCACCTAAGACATAGATCATTTTGCCATCAAAAGCCAATTCGTGCCTGTATCTTCCATGTGGTTCCGACTCGTCTCTACCAGAGCAAACGTATACTACTTCCCAGATACCTCTTCTTAAGTCAAATCGGTGAATATCACAGGTATATTCATAACCAGTAGTACCGCCGACTGTATAGAGATAAGAATCATGGCATACCAGCGCCTGTCCATAGAAATAATAATAAATATATATAAGCTATGTATTATGTATATTTATGAATATATATTATAAAATATAAAGATAATCAATTTAATGCTCATATATATTAATGTTATAATTTTTATTGTGACCATATGTTCCAGAAATTTAAAATAAACCAAAATTGATATGTAAATCAGTTTCATTTAGATTTTTATATTTAATATTTATATTTAATATTTTTGCATTCAGTTTTTAATTGATTTTTATTTTATTTTAATAAATTTACTAAATTTATTAAATTTTATAAATTATAAATAAATTTACTAAAATATTGCATAGTTTAATGATAAAATAATTGCCTTTTATCAAACAAAAACAATGCTTTGCCAATTAGTAACACAGTTACCACAGAAAATGAATTCTGAAATTCCCTGACTTTTCCATTTTTTACAGACGACAATGGAGAATTTTCTATGTTCAATAATATTAAATGTTAATAATTTTAATGTTTAGCTTAAATACAAGAAAACAAAAATATAAGAATAGCTTACATTATTAGACACAACATAAGAAAGAAAGATAAAAATCTAGAAATATAAATAATCCTGAATTTCAAGTCAACAAAACTAAATGAGTATTGAAAAAAAGAATAGAGTTATGAAAAGAGAGAGTAAATAAAAATGCTGAAAAATATATAAATATTATAAATACTTTTTGGAAAAACATTAAGGAATTGTGAGCAAAGTTCAGAATTCCAGATTTTATTGTATCTTCTGCCTTTTCCAGGTTTTTTCTGGCCAATTTAAATTTTCATAAGCTTTCCTGATTTTCCAGATTTTTTAAATTTGTGACTATCATGGATGAAACAAACTAGACTGAATCTTGCCATCTTATATAAAGAAACTTTTAATGAAAACATTATCTTACTCTAAAAGAAATAAGAATCAAAAGGTCAAATTCTAGAATATAGTTAGACAAATAAATCTTGATATCTAATAAAAAACAAAAATTCAAATAATAATAAATAAGAATAATCACCTGTCCGTATTGAGGTTCAGGTAGATCACCAGTGGCTGGCACAATCTTCATTGTGCCATCATCCACATTGCAGACATATAATTGATTGCTGCAGCTCTCACCAAAAGGAACACCAGTACCACCATATACCATAAGTGCGTTACCGCACAGTATCACTGCATTTGATGCAAGCTCGTTTGGCATGTTTTCCTGACCAGGCAGGCGCTTCCATCGTTCACTCACCAAGTTAAAACGCCAAAGTTCCTTGAACAATGGTTTACTAGCAAACCAAGTCTGATCGTTGCGCATATCTGGGTCGGTGTCAGATACGCACGGATTGAAGCCACCATATGAATACAGATTTCGATGGTCGCATGCGATTCTGTGGCCGCTGCGCGCCTTCGGTCGCTCCGGCCCGTACGCTTTGTGTTTGGTGAACACAAATGGTTTGAACGTATACATGGTGTCTCGCTGTTAATGAATGAAGCCAACGTCGCCGACGCGATGATTACAAGAGAAATTGAAGATTCAATAGGTTAGCGTGGCTCTCCTCTTCGGCGAAGTTTCGCCACGCGCTGCGGTCATTCCTAACCTCAAAGACACCAACCTAACCTCCACGCACGTCGCCTATCTATCTATCTATCTACAAGAAGAGAAAATCTAGACCTGTTTTAGATCTCAATTTTCGACACAACACTCTTCGAAATTTTTATATGAGATTAAAGGAAATCAAATTGTTCTTTCGCTTCCTTCTCACCGTAACTTTGCAATCGTAAACATCACTTACTTCCTTACGATGGCAGCTGATCGCGTTCACACTCCTTTCGCGTGCCCTCTTTCAACGTGCTATTCGCTCCATCATTCTCCGAACGATACACACCCAAACATTTCAAGCATTTGTCTGTACTGTTCAAAACGCGAGGAGGAAGGCGTAGCGTCGATGCCGAACCGGGGCTCTATTCGCTGATGTTTATTTTCGGACGTAACGCGATCCGCACCGAGTGACGTCCCACAACATCCTTCCTTTTAGGATTCAATGAAAACAAGCCGAGATGTCAGTAAATGCAACTCCCGAACACTCTGCGCGTGACGTACGTGAAAGAAGCGATAATTAACCAATCACAATTCGCTCTTAGGATAAAGCAGTAGTTGATTAGCTACCGCTCCGTTTCTTGTTGCTTGTGACATATAACACGTGTGAGTATGAGACAGTTTAGTTTGGTTCGTTATATAGATTATGCCGGTTATAAACAAATCTTGATTTATAAATTGTTTTTATCGTAGATAAAAGTTTTAAAAGATGAAAGAGGTCCCGCTTACAAACTGTGAACGAAATTTTATAAACAAATGTATAGAAGAGGAAACGGTAACTATTTTTGTTATTTTCTTTTGTAAATTTATATAGTTTTATAATTTACATATGTTATAATTAGGATTACTTTAAGATTTTTTACAATTACGAATGTAAATTATTAGAATATATTTAAAATATTTTTCTTTATATTTATTATATTTCTTATAATATTTTATAATAAATCCGTATTTCAGAGGTTAGATGGCCGAAAATTATTAGAGCCACGTCCGGTGAAGCTTTACTTTGGCTCTAGCTGGGGATGCTGTATGGTATCTCTTGGACATACAAGGTAAGTTAAACTAAGTAAGGTAAGTTATGATTAGAAACAGAAAGATTTTGTCAAATGATCATAATAATTTTTCTTATTTATATCGTATATAATTGTAAAAAAATTATTGTTATTTATTGTTAATTGTTATTTATTTATTAGAATTAGAATTTAAATATTACTTGATAATGTATAGGTTTTAAACATATGTAGTGAACATTTTTTTAAAATAAATATGTAAAACATTGAGAAGAGAAATTTTTTTATAGAGCAGTAGTACAAATATCATGTGATATACAACAGCCTAAAACATCTCGTCCTAATGAAGGTACGATACGCATAAATGTTGAGCTCACACCTTTAGCAGCACAACATTTTGAAAGTGGTAGACAATCTGAAGCTGCCATACTCATCAGTAGGCAGCTAGAAAAATGTTTTAAAGATTCAAAGTGCATAGACCTGGAATCTCTTTGTATTGTAGCAGATAAAAAGGTTATTAAAATGATATTGAATATTGTATATATACAATAATATACACACACACACACAATTGTATATAATTATTGTACATAATATTATTGTGTGTATGTGTGTGTGTGTGTGTGTATGTGTGCGCGCGCGCGTGCGTGCGTATGCGTGTGTGCGTGTGGTGCGTGTGGTGTGTGTAAATTTATATCATGATTTGCATTTTTATTTAGATATGGAATTTGAGAATTGATGTTAATATTATAAATCATGATGGAAATCTGGTGGATTGTGCTTCTATAGCAACGCTTGCTGCTCTTATGCATTTTCATAGGCCAGATGTCACCTCTACTGGTAAAGAAATTATTGTACATCCAGCTTCGGAAAAGGATTTTCTACCATTGACATTGTTCCATTATCCAATCTGTGTATCCTTTATAACTTTCAAGAGGTTGGTCAGGCAAACAAAAATTATTTCTTGAGAATTTTATATATAAGATAAAAAAGAAAAAAGAGCCTTTTCAATATTACTTGAAAAATTTCTCAATAAAATTCAGTACTTCTTGGATTACTTCAAATGTGAAAATAATATGAAATATCTTACTATACTTTATAGTGGCCATACCATAATGGATCCTACATATAATGAAGAAAGAGTTGGCGTAGCTGAACTGACTCTCGGCATGAATTCTTATAGAGAACTTTGCAGTTTGCATTTTGATTATTTAACGAAAACTATGACGATTGAGGATGTCATATCTGTAGTTTCTAATGATGCGGCTAATTATGCGACGAAATTAGTGCAGCAAATCAAAGAAGCGGTAATCAAGGATGTACAATCGCGGTAAGATTTTAAAACGACGTCTATTAAGGGACACAGCCACTTTGGCTTATAAAACATATATGGAAATTTAGTGTTCGAAAATTGAGCAACAAATTAGCAACAAAAGAACACTAAATTTCTGTATATGTTTTTATTCAATTGCGCTAAAGTGGCTGTGTCAGCTTAATAAACATCTCGAAATGACTTGCAAAATAGTTTATCCATCACTTCATACTCTTTTTCATTTACAATCCTTAACTTTCCAAATCAAAAAACCAATGCATAAATAAAGATGAAATAAGAGATGAAACCAAATTCCAAAAATTAATCTGTTTTCACATGTCACTCTAACATTTTACTTATATTGTATGTGTGTGTGTGTGTGTTAATAAATATAGCGCACACACACATACACACACATACACACACATTAATAATTTACTTTTTAAAAATTTGTATTTACTAATATAACATATAATCTAAACATTTTTTAGTCTTTAAAAAATTTATATAAAAGTATTAATCTGGACTTTTTAATTATGATAATTCATTTAATATAAAATATTATTCAGAAAAATGCAATTTCCTATTTTTTCTCTAATTTACAAATTTGTTTCAAATAATAAAAAAGAAAATTATGAATTAATTTGTAATTTTTTAAAAAACATTATAGGTACAAAAAGGATGACAGCAATGTATCTAGATTTAAAGAGAGTATTCAAGTGAATAAATTGACGACAACAATTGGTGATCATATTAGCATTAAATTACATAAATGGAACGCAACTACAGTCGAAAGTACACATTCGTCCAATTATTTCTTTCTAATTTAAAAATCTGTATAAACATTTTTTAAACTAAATTTTATTATATTATAAATAGGAGTAAAGTAATATAAACTTTAATGTTTTGATGATTATTTTTAAATACTAAATTTTATTTATGTAATTAAAATGAATAATTAAACATTAATCTAATTTTAATTATTTAATATATGTGTTAAATAATTAATTTACAGATGATTTTATGGAAACAGAAAGTGAGGACAAGAGTTATATTATAAATTGTGAAGAAGGATCTGCTGATTTAATACCAGTTTTCGACGTAAGTATTAGAAAAGAATATATTAAGTATTGCAATAATTTTTTTATTTTGAATTTGTTTATTTCTGAACTTGGTTAAATTAGTCATTAACATTTTTACAGGAATCAGTAAAGGAAGAAACTCTTAGTATATATGAATCTGATTCGGACAATGAGATTCTTATCAAATCACCATCTCCAGAAAAAGAAAAATAACCATGGAAATAAGCCATGGGAATAAAATAGAAGATAGTGATTAGATTCATATAGCAATATAAAAAAAATATAAAATGAAGATTAATGAGACTAATATATTATATTATTTAATTTTTATTCCACAACATTTGTACATTTCTCCAAAATTACGCACCAATTGCCTTGATCATAGTAAATCTCTTTAATCGAAACAGTAGATATTTCTGTGCATAGTTTTGCAAGTTCACCTTCTTCAAATACATGATAATATCTTAAATGGCATTCGCCGCTTTTTTTCGTCCAAGGGACCAACATATCATTATGAGCAAAGTTCGTTCCGTTTTCGTGAATCGGTAGCGTTAAATTACATTCGGTGATTTTCTTGTAATTAATTGATTCGCTTCGATCAGTTTCCTTGCTTTCTGTCTTTTTGTTTCTTTTGCCATATTTCAGATAAAACGAATCCACAGAATTTTTACGCTGTTCTTTCGCCCATACATAAATCAGGCACTTTCCTTTCGGTCTTAATATTCGAATCATTTCGGAAATGGCGCGTAGTCGCCGTTTTTGAGTGGACAGATGATGAATTACTGCGATGCTAATTACCGCATCCATGGAATCATCTCTGTATGGCAAATGTAGACAATCACAATGAAGGACTTCAAAGCCTCGTTTACGACATATATCTATTAATCCAGAGCTACGGTCACATCCCATCTAAAATCATCTTCAATATTAGTGATATCCTGATTTAAAAAAATACAATGCGAACTAAATTAAATCTCTAAAACGTAGATATTTAAGTTCATCTTAGTTATACATTCCTGTCGATTAAATACCTCTAAATGATTTAAATCATAGAAAAAAATACCTTGTATATATTCCAATTTTCACAAAGATATTTGCCATTTCCACATCCCACATCCAACAGCAATGTACCTTTTTCTAAACTTTCGAGAAATTTAGTTATATTAGGCCATGGTTTTTGTCGTGTTTCACTAAAGTGACTCGATATTTCCTCGTAAACCTGAGAATACAATTTCAACAAAATAACAAAAATAAGATTTCTTATAAATCCGAATTATAGTCTTACCTTATGTACGTATGAATTTTCCAATCCTGATGCAGTTTTGATATCAGTGAAAGTAACTTTATTCGTATCACAGTGTTCTTTGAAGTCGCAACAACAATCATCTCGTCGCACTTTTCTAAAGGTGAAAGATACTCTAGTACCACGTTCTCGCGTCGTTGTTCCATTTTCTGTCTTGATTATATCATTATGACGAGGACAGATGCCATGCATCCACGCATATCTTGCTTCTCCTGACATAATTAATAAAGATCTAGCTGGTAGAAAAATATCGATCTTCTTATTATTTCTCTTAAAATTCATAATACATGCAGATCCCAGTGACAAAGATAATATCGTGTCTTCGAAAATGCTATGCGTGTCAATATGCGATGGTATGCCTTAAATGCACAATATGAAATCATTAAAATAATTTAGTATCCAAATTACAGTTATATAAATTTATATTAAAAATTTTATGACAAAAATTTTTTTATGAAACAAAAGAGAATATATAGTACAATAAATTATTAACTTAATTGTAAACGTAATTATAAATTATTAATTTAATTATAAATGTATTCATAAATGAGTGTCGAGAATTGATCTACCTTGTCCAGGTAAATATTTGTTGATAGTCAGCTGATCATATATGTATTTATGGCCATGTTTATCAAATAGAATCTGTAGAAATTTATAGTCTTGAGGTATCGGCGCGATAGGCTTGTCAGGATTGATCATATTAGTGCCATATTCAAATTCATACCCAAAATGTTTCACCTGTCTATGTTTTAGTTGTGATAAAACAGAGTCTGCAACAGCAATTTAAAATAAGAAATACAAAATCATTTTTCTTTCTTTTCTTAATTGCATTGTTTCATTGTACTATCAATTTCTTTTACCACATTCGTCCCAATTGAGTGTTTTTAACAAAGTTTCCTCTTGTTCTTCAGTTATAAAATTCTCTATTAATGTAAGACCAGGAGGAAATGCAGAATCAGATGCAATATACTCTGTGTTGGAAACTAAAAAAATAATTGTTACAAAAGGAATTCTAAAGTTGCATCATAACTTCATTATGACAGAAATATATACCTGTTTCAGTATAGCATACATATAATGGACCATTCTGACCTGGAAGTTTAATACGTCCATGAATGTAATTGTATATGCATGTAGCATCCTCCTTTGAGTTACACGTTACAAAACAATATGATTTGCCTACTGGCATTACCAGAGTATACTTTGAGATCAATGTATCTAATACACATTGCAAAGTTTCCCTCTTGATACCAGTAACTAAGCCTCCATTGCATATCATCAAATACTATATGAAATATGAAACTTATGACTTTGTGACTGTCAAAATTCTATATTTCAAGATTTTATATTTTAATATTTTGATATTTACCTGCGTAGGTTGTTCAGTGCATTTAATATTCATGTCTCTGAGCAATCTGTGCTGAGCACGTTTTTGTTTGCGCACGTTTTTTT